TAGTGTATTAAAATGTTCTGAGGCTTTATCACCCACCCCCCACCCCCGTCCTCCCCACTGGTCACTATCACTAACTAATGAACAACAAAGTAGGCTAGGGCGGAGTGGTGTGTTTTGGGGGGTTGGGGGGAGGCGTGAAAAAGGAGAGAGAAACCACGAGATGTGAAGAAGAAAGAAATGGGGGCAGGTGAAGTGGAGGGGTGGTGGGGGTGGGGGGCGCTGCGCCAAGCAACGTCACGGCTTGACCACCGGTCAGTCTCATTCCCAGCGCATAACCCGCAAGAGAGATTGCACTCCCACGCCTAACGCGGTGGTGTGGTTGAATAAGGTTGAGCAAATGCCTGCAACATCCCCCCCGAGAAGAGAAGAAAGACATCGACTCCAGCGCTTTGGCAATTAGAGGTAACGCTTAAATCTTGCATCGCCATCCTCATAATTCAACGTGAAATAACAAGCTCGTTCATTCTCAGCAGTTCGTTCTTGTACTTGTAACTTTCTTGTTGTTATTTAATGATCAGTTGCGAAGTCCTCAGCTTTCGGCAGTAGTTAGTTCACTCCAGAAAAAAATATCGACTCATCCGTTTTCATTTCTACCTCGTTCATCCATCGAATGTTCCGTTCCTACTTATAATGTATTGTTTACAAGCACTAATACATTTCCCCCCCGAAAGTTCTGATTCAGTTTGTCGTAAGAAACATCATCATGGCCTCGGGGTTAATGATACAACCTGGATGATACGATAATTGGTGTTGTCTGACGCGATGAAGCCTCGATGGCGTCCCACCGTGTCTAGGTCTTAGACTTTTGGGATCATGCACACGAAGGGACTGATACACCATTATTGTGCGTTTGCCTCTCCTCTCGTACTTAGAGCAGCTTCCATTTCGAGTAAACTTTGGCTTGATGATTCTTTCCAAAGTCATTCAACTAAATTACTTTAATTCACAATTCCGCAAGTTTGAGTTTAAGTTAAATCGTGAATGAAATTTATTTTAGGTGTAGCCTACACTAGATCTATAGCTACGCACGTGAAATTACTGTAAGCTGGACTGCGCCACGATACAAGCTTACTGGATGTTTATTCAGTTGAATTTTGTTGATCAATTAAATTGATATATATATGTGTCGCTTATTTTTTGTTCCCTCCTCTCCCCAACACAGGGAAGAGAAAACAATCATCTAAAACAAGTTTAAGCAAAAGACGACAGCTCTGAATCTGAGCTCTTTTACCGAAACAGTGGTAGGGCCTAGTGGTATACGAGAGAAACATCCGACGTAGGCCTAATGTTAATTGTTTAAAAAGAAAATGCTATTACTATTTATATTTAGTTTTGCATAAACGTCACAAAAATATTGATAAAATATTTAATTAGATCTAGATCTACGTGTAGATCTGGTAGATCTACTGCAAGATCTATTACCATTACAATTGCTGGTAAAACTTAATATTATGGAATAATTATATTCAATTCATAATGACAGAGACATTTGTGGTATAATCAAACTGATAGGTATGAGAACATCAAGAATCAACCGAAGGAAAATATGATCTCTATTTATATCAACTGCATCAACACTTAGCATGAATTGGAATAAACTGTCAATATAATATCCCCACAGTGTAGCCAATCGGAAAGTCACCACTTTTGCTATTGAAGTAGATTCTAGAAGGAAACACATACACCTTCTCTAACTTAGTATCGATAAAAGTAGTCCCCACCCCCTCCCCTCGGAAAGAAACCACACACACACACACACACAACTCCGTAACGAGATCTAGATTTACGTCATTTTATAGCTCTCCTGGTCAGTCTCCCAGCTGGAAATCGTGAGCACAGACCACTACTACACACGAGCACAGACCACTACACACACACACACGAGCACAGACCACTACACACACACGAGCACAGACCACTACACACACACGAGCACGGGTGTCGTGTATGCTCAGCTGTTGTATTCAAACAACGCAGGGCGAAACTAGACCGAACCCATTTAATTCAGAAACAAAATCTCACGACGAAGCGTAGGTTAAACAAAAATGTTAACACCCCACTGAAATCGCAAAAAAATCAGACTGTCGAACCATGCAATACAATCATATTAATCCCAGTGTTACTATAGGTCTAATCTGTAAAACCAAACGTCGCAAAATTCTAAGCTATTATTGGACACACCCCAAAGGTACATGAACTGTTTCACCTGATATATTTTTACAAATCTATGAATGGTATAATATCTTATTTTTATGTTTTCTTTAGTTATGAAAATGTTGGACAGGAGTTCTTAAATGATTTCCATTTTTAATGCAGAAACATTTATTCCCATCAATCCAAATTTATCCATAAAAAAAAAATTCCAAATCGTAAAAATATTTGTGGGATAAAACCTTAGCAACTTGGTCACTGCGTGTATATATTTATCACGAATACAAAAAACAAGATGCAGCATGGTATGGTTTTCTTTAACACACATCCCCACCCTATACTCTGATCAAAAGAGGCTTTACATGTTAAAAGCCTTGTTAAATTAAATATGTCCTGCTCCTTTTCGACTTGCGACCGAGCCAAGCCTAGTGGGGGAGAGACAGATGCAGGGGAGAGTGGGGAAAACAAGCAGGTTATCAGAACAAACCAAGTTAGATTTTTATTTTAAAATTATCCCGTTAAGGACTCAAACCGGGGTCATACCTATAGTGGCTATAGTAGTAGTAGATGTTACTAACTGAGCCAGCAGAATGGTAAAGCAATTCTTGTCTGAATTCTCTCTCTCTCTCTCTCTCTCTCTCTCTCTCTCTCTCTCTCTCTCTCTCTCTCTCTCTCTTTGTATACATGTCAGTGTAGCATTACATTGTACACATGATCGAATAAAGTGAAAGTTTTGAATGAATTTAAATAAACGATGTTGTGGTGAAATAGTCATTTAAGTCAGCATTCCTTACTACAGCCAGAGAGCTGCTACAGCACAAGATACGGGTCATCAGCGACAATTACTGTGACATCAACAGTTACGACGTCGCCTTCAAAAGTACTGCTTCATGCATACATGTTTAGCCTACACGTATTGCTGATTGATACCACTTGTGGCACTTTTACTGATAGTGATACTCTTGTTACCAAAAAAAAAAAAAAATGAGTAAAAAAAAATAAAACCGTATTATCTGATCTGGTGAACGGCTAGACAGCGACAACAAATCAAGTCACTTCACTACACAGACATTTAGATGGAACAGGTTGACATGTTTGACGAACATACTACGCACGGTTTCATTTTACAACCAACAAAGACGCATTGACACACAAACTATTCATGTGTGTGCTGTGTACACAAAACAAGGACATTGTTGACTAGAGCTGTCAGGCGATCTGGAAATGAATACCTGATCTACGGTGGTCCCAACAGCACACACCGTAAAGACTGGGCATCACAGGTTCCGATGTCATCAGTTGATATGATGTATACGTGGCTTGGATGAGGATGGAGAGGAGATAGTGTGTTCGAGTGTGTTTGTGTGTGTGTGTGTGTGTGAGAGAGAGAGAGAGAGGGGGGGGGGGAGGAGGAGAGAAAAAAATTGATTGAAGTAGGTGTGTGTTCCGGGAGGAGGGGGGAACGAGGCGGGGGGTAATCAAACCACAGAGAGATGGAATGGAACAGGAAAAGTAAACTACCGACACACAAGAAGGCGTAAAACTTCTTCTTCTTCTTCTTCTTCTTCTTCTTCTTCTTCTTCTTCTTTTTCTTCTTCTTTTTCTTCTTTTTCTTTTTTTGGCTAGCTCCTTCATTCATTTGAAATACGTCCTTTAAATTCCCCCATTTCCCTCGAACATACATCATCATGTACATAATTATGCTGCTCTCTAGAATCCCAGGAATCTCTAGAAACATCTGATCTTCGGCACTTACAAATATGTCCTATTTTGTTGTTTGTGCTGTTAAAGTCCTCTGACAAAAACGAAAATTCAAAATGTGTCTGATAATTTATTATTGTATACCGGTACCAACATGTGTGTGTGTGTGTGCGCGTGTGTGCGTGTGTGTGTGTGTGTGTGTGTGTATGTGTGTGTGTGTGTTTGCACTTGTATGATGACTAATTTTGTTGCATGTGCAAAGTCTTCTAACAAAAACAAAACTTCTACAATTACATGAATATTTATTCCTGTGTCCCTGTGTGTTGCAGGTGGTTCCCCGCTCCGTCTCCATCCCAGCCCGACCCGACGCCTGTCCCCGGATCTCGCCCTCAGATCTCCATGTCCAGGAAAGACCGTCCTTTCAAGAGCTTCCGTTCCCCATCGGAACGGCCTTTCAAGTCCTATAAGCCGGGGAATACCCTACCCTTCCCAGAAACGGACGAATATCAGCCCTTTCGCCTGCCCTTTGGACTAGGGAAAATGCAGCAACAGCAACAACAACAGCAGCAGCAGCAGCAGCAACAGCAGCAGCAGCAGCAACTGCATTCGCCACAACAACAGCAACAATTGCATCCGCCACAACAACAGCAGCAGCAGCTGTCTTTATCCATCCCTCAGCAGCAGCAACAACAACAGCAGCAGCAGCAGCAGCAACAGCAACATCTGCAGGTGTACGGTGACCCCGATGACTTCACAAGGATGAACCCCGTCTCCAGCCATGCGGCCGCGGCGGCAGCCATTTTGGCAATGGACCCCACCCTGAACCAGTACTACGAGGAGCTCGGGCTCGATGACCCGGACACCGCCCTCATCCGGCCGGAGATGCTGGTCGCCAACGAGTCGTTGCTACAGCAGCGCGAACAGGACCTCAACATCACGCCCTCCTCCGGATTAGGCGTGCAACCAAACTTCATCTTCCCCAATCGCATGCTGAGAGGCGGGGCGTCCGCCTTAGGTGGCGTGGCCTCTACTCTAGGGGGCGTTTCCTCGACTCTAGGGGGCGTTCCCTCTGCTCTAGGGGGCGTGTCCATGTCGGAATCGCTGTCCATCCTATTCGATCAGCCGTCTTTCTCGCCCACCCTTTCTCAGCACCTCTCTCATCAGTCGCTCATGACGCCGAAGAGTATGGGCGGAAACGGCATCGGCATGTCCAGCTCCCAGACCAGCGGCCCCAGTGCTAGCGCCACAGTCGGCAGCCTCTACTCACAAAGTTCTGTCCCCATGCACCATCTAGGCATGGCCGGCCTGACCACAGCCACCTCCAGCCGGAGCACCGTCGGAAGCAACTCATCCCCCATCGACGTGGACTCATACTCCGTGAAGAAAGAGGCGGACGAGGGCAGCAGTAGCACCCTCCCGCCACCCAGCCCCAGTTCCAGTTCCCTCCATTCCCCTACCACGAGCGATGCCGGCTCCGACGCGCTGGATTCCGCCCGCCGCGGCGTGAAAAGATCGCTCTCCGACGCCTCCAGCGACAACAAGCCGTCCACTTCTGGCCTCAACGGGTCAGGCACGGCGGGGCCCAGCACTAGTAGCGGCGCCAGTGGCGGACCCAGCCCTTCCAAAAGCAAAGCAGACCCCAACAAAGACCCAGCCTACTTAGAAAAACGACGCAAAAACAACGAGAGTGCTAAACGGTCGCGCGAGGCGCGGCGCAGCAAGGAAGAGATGGTGGCCCTGAGGGTGGTTACTCTCGAGGAGGAGAACATGAAGTTGCGCGCTGAGAGCTCTCTGCTGGAGAAAGAGCTTGACGAGCTCAGACACCGCCTCTTTAACTAGATACACCGCTCCCACAGACCCCTGGCTGGCCGCACAGCACGGCAGTCTACGCACATATGATGTTGTGGAGACTTCTCTTCAGACGACGAACTGACTGTTTTCTAAAATTACAAATGTGCGTACCTTTTTGTGGCAGCTTTTACTTCACTTCAAATTCAAATGGCATTACCCCTCTAATTGGTGGTAATATACAGACCAATTGACAGAATCCAGCTGAGGTTCAACTACACTTGAGATAAGACACACATGGACCAAAAAATCAAACGTATTCGTCGTATATTTACTTCTATACAACATGTATGCTATGATCTCTGCCTTCTTTTTTTCTTCCATTTCATCATACTCAAGTAAGCACTCAGACTGCCAAATGACACACCTGTGTCTACAGAGATACAAAGAACCCCCC